CCCTGGGCCCCTCTCCCCACCTAACAGCTCTCCTTCCTATGGGAAAAAGTCCATGCAGGCGGAGTTCCCCAGGACAGCTGTAGGGACATGGGACAGAGCCATGCTGCCGCTGCCCTGCCCCCTTCCAAAGGGCAAAAGGTCACACTTGAACTAGCTGCCCTTTCTGGGTACTTGCCAGCGGTGAGCAGGCTTCCGATTTATTTCCCCTTCTGAGTTCACCCACAACATTACAGGCTCTGTGAGCGCACGAGGGAGGGCAGCGGGTGAACCTCAGGACACTGACCTCAGACCCCGACAGGGCACAGCCTCCGCAGAGTCCTGGGTAAGCGTCCAGACCAGGGCCTGGCCTGCCTGGGACTGCAGCTCTGGCCTCTACAGTTCATGTTGCTGGAAAGATGGCTTAATAACCTGGGTTTGCTTATTGCCGGAGGAGACCAAAGTCCTGTACGGACTTCTAAAATCCAGACAGGTCAGGTGGCTTACAACAGGAACATGGAGTGGTGATGTGCCTCATGTCACAAAGCAGGGAGGTGACAAAGTTGAGGGGAAACGTCCATCCCCTGGTGAGCCCACATGTGTTTTTCTTTTCAGCGAAGACAAGGACTACAGTTACAGCACATGGACCTTCACCCCAATGGGGCAAAGGAGAGGGAGGGGTGGTTAGAAGATCCAAAGCAGCCTGAGCTCTGCCCCAACTGGTCTGAATGACCTTGAGTATGTTACTTAATATTTCTGACACCTGGTTTCCTTGCTCTTACAACCAACTGGGACAATCACAGTACCCAGTAAAGCCTTCCTTTTCAAAATCTGTGCTCATTTGCATCCCACGAAGCTGTCAGAAATACAGAACTGAGGCTCTCCCAGACCTGCAGGATCAGAATCTTCCCCATTTTTTTTTTTCAAGGTCCCAGATGATTCTAAAAATATTTACATTTGAGAAGCCTGGATATCAAGCATTTGGGACACGCCCACACGGAGTCAGCCCTCAGCAATTATGTGAGCCCAATTCACACATGAAAGGGCCCAAGACCAGGCCAAGACTTTCTAGAGGAATCAGACCCAGAAAGGCTGATTACTTGCCCAGCATCACGCAGTAACTTCAGAATTTGAACCCAAGACTTGGGAGTTCTTTTGTACCATGCACCCTCTTTCCCATGTAAGAGCTAACTCTCCACCCATAAGGCATGATGCTAACACAGGTGCTGGAAGAAGCAAAACCCTCATGTTTTTCTAAATTAATTCCCAGATCACTGTGCAGGGTCCTCTGTCAGGCCCGGTGGCACACTGCTGGCTCACCTAGGCTCGACTCTGTGCTTCTGGGAGGCTGTCTGCCATTCAGAAGATCAAGGAGGTGGAGCAACCCAGGACTGCTGCCAGCTGCTGCCAGAGATGAAATTTCTAAAGTGAAAGGAAGGGGATCCCTGGGTGGCGCAGTGGTTTAGCGCCTGTCTTTGGCCCAGGGCACAATCCTGGAGACCAGGGATCAAGTCCCACATCGGGCTCCCGGCATGGAGCCTGCTTCTCCCTCTGCCTGTGTCTCTGCTTCTCTCTGTCTATCATGAATAAATAAAATCTTTAAAAAAAAAAAAATAAAGTGAAAGGAAGCCTTAAAACACACCTTATAAATTTACACTCCCTTTCACCTATTAACACCTTCCCCATGCAGCTGGCACCACCCAAACAGAGAACACAACGGGATGTCAAGCTAGAAGGCATCTTTTTGGCTTCCCACCTCTGACACCTAGCCAGAGAGCAAACCCCAGCATGTTGGCTTCCCAGGGTTGGAGCCCTGTCCACCAGGCTGGAAGATGCCCAGGCCCGCAGGACACAGTTCCCCAGACGGTCCAACGGAGACAGGAGCAAAAGGTAGGGGCCCAAACAAAGATTAAATATGTGGGGGGGGGGGATGGCTAAAGAATAGAGAATCACACTAGAATGACTGACCTGCTGTATTCCAAACATTTACAGTCAACAGCTCCAAAACTGTTCTAGGGCCTTCCACATGGAAGGTATCGCCATCCAGACTTGGATGTCAAAGATTCAGGTTCCTCTCTCGGCCAACACTGGGTCTGTGACACAATCTACACATAGGGTGGCTGTGCAGAGTCAATGACATATTATGTCAAATTTCCAGCCCTAAGCACAGAAATAGTCCCCAGGCCTGGGCACAGAAATTTTCCTCTGTCATGTTTTAAAGTCTGCAAGTACAAGCAATGATTGGTTTCTACAAGTGTCCAGGCAGAAAGAACACAAAGTGTTTCACGATTTTAGACTGAGAAATTCTGATTTTTATATAATCATAACACACTCAATAGAGGACATCTCAAGTTCATTCTAAAAGGCAGATTTCAGGTTAACTATGGCAATGCTTTCCAAACTTTCATTTGTATATGAATCATCTGGGGATCTTGTGAAAATGCAGATTTGCACTCAAGTAATCTGGAGTGGGGCCTGAGAAGTTTGCATTTCTAAGAACTCTGGTGAAGCTCAAGTTCCAGAGCCCACGCTTTTGAGCAGCAAGGTTCTATGGAATTCCTTAAATAGTAATAGACACATCCAAGGAAGGTTTAATTTGATTTAGAAAGGACATCCCAAGAGAACACCCATGAAGTAGTATATGGAGCCACCCTGGCTAGCAGGGTTTCTTGAAGGCGGACCACCAGGAAAAGCCAATGGCGTTCTTGTAAATTGGCCCTGGGCCCTATTCAATGAGTTTGTACCCTATATCACACAGCCTAGGCAGGTGGAAGTAGGCTGTAGTGATCATAAAAGCAGCACGCTTCTGACAAAAGTCTCAAAAGCAGCATGGTGTAGGAAACAAAGCATCCTAGAAGATTAAGTTCATGACCACTCCAACAGCTGTGGCCAAGCAAGGCTCTTCAAGGCCTTTCTTAAATCCCTGTTTTACCCATTTACCACCTCTCTGTACATTAAATTTCATGCTGTTTCTGTTGACAGCTGTAATTAAAAAAAAAAAAAAAAGAAGAAGAAGCCTCTTATCAAGTTGCCAGATACGGATAATTCCTAAATTGTAGGACGAATGTGACTGTCAGGAAGCACCTTATACTGACTGACTCATCGTAATGCGTGTGCTGGGAGGGTGAAGAGATCACTACAACATCCAAGGAGTTCATATTTATGAGACTGGAGATTAAATTCTGGCTATTATTTTGATCCGAAATACTAACACTGGGGCGCCTGGCTGGCTCAGCTCGTGGACCATGCGACTCTCCACTTCAGGGTTCTAAATTCCAGCCCCATGTTGGGTGCAGAGATTACTTAAAAATATAATCTTGAAAAAAAAAAAAAAAAAAAAAAAGCAACACAGAAAATCTTCCATATCCCCAGAAATGAGATTCCTGGAGACAAAGTGTGAGGTAATCTGATCTCCAGCTGCTTCTAGCGCAGGAACACATCTGTCTAACCATGAGACACAGGCCAGGCTTGCACACTGGCTTAGAATAACATGTATGTTTAGTACAATTCTTGTCATGACCCCCTGGCCTGGCTGGGCTTACGCTCGAACTACAGAGTCATTATGAACCAGTGTGTGATATCAAGCGGTAACAGCAAGCTGCCCAGAAGCTGCTGAGTGTGCACCAATCACCCAGAAGGGATTCCCCTCTTGCGCACTTGCCCACTAGCGGGGAGATGCGTGCTCTGACAAGAAATGCCAGGGCCAGACTGTCACCTGTGGCCAGCATCGCTAATTCATCCATGCAATCACCACGCTGCCTCTCCATTCCACGCCCCTCCCTGCAACCATGAGCAATCACACCGTGTGGCTACACACCAGGCAGGGTCAAGATTTCGCCCTGTGGGAAGAAGGAAACTCAAGAGCAAATTTCTGGATGAGCCTGTCTTGTTTTTCCCCATTTGTCCGTTGGGGGAGGAAGTTAAGTTTTCCAATAGGCCACCTTCTTAACTTAGGCCAGAAAAAGCCTGAGCTTTTGGGGAAAGCAGTACAGGAGAGAGGCTGTAACAGAAAATGTTCTCCTTCCTCCCTCCAAGCCTGCAAAATGTTTCCATTTTAAAAGGGGAAATTAAGGCCCCCAGAGGTTAAAATAACTGAGCCGAGGTGGAGCCCAGGCTATAAGTGACTTCATAGGAGGCCTTATTAACTACCGAGAGGATACTCCCTCCCAGGAAACAGGCCTGCATTTCTCCACTGCTCCCCGCTCGCTTCTTTTCCCAACTCGGTCCCGCTCCTTACACAGACCTAATTCCCAACTGTCCTCTGAACATATGTTGACAAACTCCAGCTATTTCCTTCACAATAAGCAAATGTTCATAGTTTTGCTGAGATGCCTAAAACCTGCAGATGACTTAAACTGGCAAATACGAGCTTTTAACGAGCTCTAGCAAATTCATCTTGGATTGGGGGGGGGGGGGACAAAAACCTTCAAGCCCAATTATTCCCAGTCCCCAAACTCGGAAGGCCCGCCCGGAGCTAGGAAATGTAAGACACTTGTATTTCTCAGGAAAGCAAAAGGAAAAGTCCCAAGTTTTCCTGGGACACGGGACAACTTCGAGCGCAGGCAGGAACTCCCCTCTGGAGGGGTTCACCGCGCGTCTTCCAGAAGTTCGGGCTCATGCGCGCCGCGCCGCCAGCAGCCGGACCCTCCGCCGGGCTCTGCGCCCCGCCAAGCCCGGCCTGGCCTGGCGTGGGGAGCGCGCGCCTCCGGATCCCGACCGCGTCCCTATTAGTTCGGGATCCCTCTCTTGCAAGCGGGAGGTCCGGGTGCGGCTTCGGAAGCGACTCCCGCCACTTGCAGCCGAGCGTGCCGCCGCCGCCCCGCGAGTGGGGCTCACGCACACGCCTGCGCCCGCACACGCCCTGCGGACTCCGCCTCTTTCGCGCGCCCTCCTGGTTCGGGATCCCGGCCCGAAGCCCCCGGATCCGGCCGGGCGCGGGCAAGGCGGGGGCGGCCCGGGTCCCGCCGCCAAGGGCCAGCCGGAGGGACGCGGGGGGAGGTGCGCGTGGCGTCCTGCACACTCACCGGGACCTCTGCAGCTGCTCCAAGGCGCTGGCGCTGGCGCCCTGGGCCGGCTGCTCCAGGGCGCAGTAGTTCTGCGAAGTCGGCCTGGAGAAGGCGATGGGCAGGATTCCCTGAGTGAACGAGTTGAGGCGACCCCGGCTGCCGCTGCCGCTGCCGCTCCCGGGGGTCCCGGAGCCCAGGAAGGCGGCCGCCGGCACCTGCACGCTGAAAAAGGCGTCGTCCTCCTCCAGCTCCTCCCGCCCGGCGTTCCCGGGCCCGTCGGGCAGCTGCGGCGGGGCGCAGGAGGCGGGAGGCGCCGGCCGGGGCGGCTGGGGCTGCTCCCCCGACGCCCGGCCCGCGCCCGGGGGGCTCAGGAAGCCCCGGGGCGCCCCGGGCCCGAGCCCCGCAGCGTGGCCGCCGGGGGCCAGGGGCGGCAGCGGCGCGGGCTGCGGGGGGCAGGGGCCCCATCCCGCCGCCGCCGCCGTGCCCGCCGCGGCGAGCGCGTTGCAGCCGCCCCGCTCGGCGGCGGCGAGCAGGCTGAGCCGAGTCCTCGCGCCGCAGGCGCTGCCGGCGCCGGGCTTGGCCGCGCCGCTCTCCTCGCCGCCGCCCCACTCCTCGTCCTGCAGCGGCGGCCGGCCGTCCAGCGAGATGTTGGTGAGGAAGGAGAGGGCAGCCTGGCGGCGCCGCGGGTCCATGCGCGGCTTCCTGGGGGGCTCGGGCGGCGGCGGCGGCGGCGGCGGGGCCGGCGCGGCAGCCGCGGGCTGGGGCTGGGGCTGGGGCTGCGGCGGCGGCGGCGGCTGCAATCCGCTGGTGCCCGCGGCGTCGGTGCCGGCGCTGCTGCTGCTGCTGCTGCTGCTGCTGCTGCTGCAGGCGGCCGTGCCGGTGGCGGCCGTGGTGGCGGCAGTCGCCGCCATTGTGTCCGTCTGCGGCGATATTTCCGCGATGCCCGGAGAAGCGAGCGGCGCCCGAGTGCTAAGCGGCGAGCGCGAGCGCCGGTGACCCGGGCTGGGCAGGGCGCGGGGCGCGGGCGGCGTGCGCGGCGGCCCGGCCCCCCCGCGGGCGGGCCATGCTCGGCCCCCGGTGCTGCGGCGGGGGACGCGGCCGCCCCGGGCCACGCGCGCGCCTGGCTGCCGGCCGCTGGCTGAGTCGCGCGCTAGCTCGCCGCCCGCCGGCCGCCGGGTCCGAGCCCTCCCCGCCTCCGCCCGCCGCCGCCGCCGCCGCCTCGCGGGCTCCGGCGGCGCGGCCCGGGAGCCCGTATCTATAGGTGCGCGCGCCCTGCGCTCGCGCCCCGAAGCGCTCTTTGCAACAACACGGTATCACGTGTGGGGAATGAAACCTGGGAGGAAAACAAAGCCGCCGGCGGCGGCCGCGGAGGCCGGCGGCGGGAGGAGGAGGAAGAGGAGGAGGAAGGGAAGCCGAACGGGCGGCGGGGCAGCGGTCCGGCGGCGGCGCAGGGGCCCGAGCGTGCTGCGGGGCGCGCGGGGCTCCAGGGGCGCGCGGGAGCCGGCGGAGGGAGGCGAGCACGCTGTGCCGCCGCGGCCGCCCTGGGAATTGGGGGCGGTGGTGGTGCGAGCGGAACCCGGGGTCGGGCTGGAGCATGCGGTCCCGGGAGAGTTGTGGGTCCGCAGGGTGGTTGCTTGGAGGGACGCTGGGATTTGGCCCACGAGCTTGTTACCTGGACCCCGCGCTGCCACTGGGCGCCGAGAAGTAGGTCCTTATTACTGTTAGGCGCGGAGATCACAAGCCTTTACGGGGACAGCCCCACCTCAGAGCGGTCGCCGAACTACTACGGTTGCGTCTCGTTCATTCCCAGGCCGAGGGGCCGAGGGTGCAGCCCCGGGGATAAATGCACACACACCCACACACCCCTCGGTGCATAAGAGCCCAGGCGCATCTGAGCATCTCCTGTATGGGCGGGCTGATTTACACATCCCCATTCGATGGTGCTGTCACTTTTCATCTCTTAGCAAAGGCCAACATCAGTTTTTACTGTGAAGACCGAGATAAGCTATGATGGCCTCACACCCTTTTCCCCTTGCCACCCTGCAAATTTAGTGGACTCTGACCTCTTTTTATCCCATATAAACTGGGGAAGATATGGACCGCTACTTTCTGTCATTTTTTTAAATGAACATCCCTTTGGCCCCTACCATATCTTAAGATGGGTACCTGCCCAAGGATTCGGTGATGTTCCAGAGCAGCAGACTGGGAGGAGTCAGAGAATGCTGGACCTCGGCCCCAACCCCCAACAAATGCCTGTGTTGGCAGAGGAGTATGTTGGGGCGGGAATGGGGGCGGGGGGGCGGGGGGCACCGGGAGCGATCTGAAAACGAGTACCGGTTTCCCTATGCGTTTGAGATGACTTACCAAATGCACTTTATTAAGCTCTGCGACATCTAAGACACCTCTCTACACTTTTCAGAGGGAGAAGCAATGTGTTTAAGATCAAGGGATTAATTTAATTAAAGGTTTAAATTTAGCCCTGGAACTAATGGGTAACACTACATTGAAATTCCACTCCACTTCAAGTTCAGGAAAGTAAATTGAGTAATGTAGAGCAAATACACCCTGTCCAGAGATGTGCAGCCAACCTGGAGTATATGAGATATGGGTGAGTTTCAGGTTACATTTGCTTAGGACAAACATAGCGTGTGGCCCTTTGCATGCTTTTAGGCATTTTTAGGCATTTTATGCCATTTTTAGGCCTTTTTGAAAAAGTGGAGAATGGGATCTATTTATAGCAGCCTTATATAGCAGCTAAGTCAAAACTCGGTGACCAGCTCTGTGACATTTCATTAGGAGTTTAATTATTTTGTTTAACTAACTACCTTGAAACTTCCAAGTGGCTTTATTACAATTAATTTAATTTGTGTGACCACTGGCCTGGCTGTGCTGGCAGGCAGTATTAAATGAAAGACACCAACCCTGTTCATGTTAAATACCTGTTTTTTATTACAAAAATGATAAATGTAAATTGCACAACATTTTGAGAATAAGGTAGGTAAAGAGGAGTTTTAATAAAAAAGCATCACTAACAATCTTTTTTTTTTAAGATTTTATTTATTCATGAGAGACAGAGAGAGAGAGAGGAGAGGGAGGGGGGCAGAGGGAGAAGCAGGCTCCATGCAGGGAGCCCATTGTGGGACTCGATCCTGGGTCTCCAGGATCAGGCCCTGGGCTGAAGGCGGCGCTAAGCCGCTGAGCCACCCAGGCTGCCCATCACTAACAATCTCATCTGCTGTGGAGATAACTTCAACTTTTTATTTCTCCTGTATTTTTAAACAAGTCAAAGCATCCTGTTCGCGTCTTGTGATTTTTGCTTGTTATGTTGTGATCATCTTTTCACTTAGAATTTTCTTTTATAGAATCATTTTAATGACTGCATGATGTTCAGTTCGATGGACCTGTACCCTATAATAAATATTTAGGTTGTTTCCATTTTTGCCGTTATAAAGAAAGTGGTGATGACTTCCTTTTTCTAAATCTTGCTGCCATCCATTAATATTTTCTTAGGTTAAATAGATGCTGGGGCCAACGGAGCATCATGTTTTCAAGGCTTCCCATCCAAAGGTTGTTCCAATTTGCTTCCTCACACTCTTGCCAGCAATGTCAATTTTTTCTTCCATCTTCATTTCTTTCTCCATCTCATATAACTCTTTGCCTATTTTAAGTGCCAAACATGCAAATTAATCTCAAATATTTATTAAAGCATCAAAGAAGAATCAATATCTTATTTAACCTCCACACTGTTCCTGTGATCGATTCTCTTATATAGGGATCATGAGAGATACGGTTTATTGTTTACCTACTGTGTGCCAGCCACAGAATATTTCCAGGTCCAACCCTTTGCACCCTGCAAGGAGGGGCGGTGGTGTGTTATTCTCAATGTTTTACGGATGAGGCTCAGAAAAATTAAATAATTTGCCCAATGACATCTAGCTCATAGCTGAGCCAGTACACAAACCTGTCATATCCAAAGACCCATACGTGGTCCTGCGCCCTCTGCTGGTGAGGATGTTTTATGGGGAGGTCCATCTCCAGATTTAATCTTATATTTGAACTTAAAAGTCAACTATCATGGAAGCAGTACAAACTTTGGAGGAAGAGGATCTGAGTTTCAAGCGAGGATCTGAGTTTCAAGAGCAACTTCTCCAAGCCAGTTCCCTTTGCAGGTTATCCCGAGCTACAAATGAGACCGATTCAGACGTATTTGTAAACCTTAAAGTACTTTTAAAAATGTAAATTGTTGGGGCACTTGGATGATTCAGTCGGTTAAGCATCTGCCTTCGGTTCAGGTCATGATCTCAGGGCCCTGGGATGGAGCCCAGAGTCCCGCTCCCTGCTTAGTGGGGAGTGTGCATCTCCCTCTCCCTCTGCCCCTCATCCCTGCTTATACATGTGCTTGAGCTCTCTCTCTCTCTCCACCCCCCTTAAATAAATAAATAAAATCTTTTCTAAAAAAGTCAGTTGTTATTTCTACCAGCACAATCTGCCTACTCCCGGATTTATTCCAAATTCACTTATTTTTCAACTACTTAATCACTAATTAAATATTATTGAGGAACAATGAAACATAGCACCACCTCTCTGGGAAAGGAAAAAAAAAAAAAGCGCAGTCCTTTGCCCTTGTGCCCCCTAGAGCAAAAATAGTGGAAAACAAAGCCAAAGCTCAGGGCACATTTAAATAAAAATGGGAGGCAGATTAAGTGCTCAAATGAGCAATCCCACTAGTACTGTGAAGGTTATCAAAATATGAGGCAGGACCCTTTTATTTGAAGTGAGGTCCTGCGGGGGAGGCCTGAGGTAAGAGCCAGAATTTCTTTTTTTTTTTTTTAGATTTTATTTATTCATGGGAGAGACACAGAGAGAGAGGCAGACACAGGCAAAGGGAGAAGCAGGCTCAATGCAGGGAGACCCATGTGGGACTCGATCCTGGGTCCCCAGGATCACGCCCCGGTCTGAAGGCGGCGCTAAACCGCTGGGCCACCGGGGCTGCCCAAAAGCCAGAATTTCAACTGACCTGGATGCTAAGGAACAAAGGGAAAGGACACTTCAGAGAGAGGAAGTTCTGCATACAAATTCCTCCCTGGATTTCAAGCAAAGAGGACTAGAACTGGAAATGTAATTCTTGATCTGCCAAGGTTTTTTGTGTTTTGGATCCCCCCACCCCCACCCTGTTTCATATTGCCCCTTTTCAGTACCCATTCTGAAAACTTTTTCTGCATGCATCAACTGTTTTGATTGACATGGATGGGAGTCAATTAAAAAAGAAAAAGAACCTACAAATAATCACTGACCCTTTAAAAACAATAATTCTGCAGAACAAGAGGTATGAAGATTAGCTTAGAGATGACTGTGGATGGCGCTCAGAACAAAAGCCATCTGACACTGTGGAAACAAGGGGCTCTGCTGCCAGCTTAGGTTCTTTCAGACTTGTGATCTTTGGGGGCCCCAGCTTGGGAAGATTATGAACCTTTTGCATGGATTGCTCCATCTGTAAAGGTAGGTTTCATAATATTTTACCTTGCAGAGTTGTGGGGATTCGTGATCATATAAATTATGTAACTAGCAGAGGATCTTAAGTAGGCAGCTATTATTAGAAAAACGCAAAATAAAAAAAGGTACACACAACAAAGACCAGAGTATCTTAGGTTCCACGTTTTTGTTGTTTTCACTAGTCCTGCCAGAGAGGCAAGACCACGAGAAACTTCAGATGCCACCTTCAGTTTGGATCAGATTCTATTACTGCATGTTCCGTAAAAGCCCAGGCTGCTGCGCACGGCGAGAACTCACCCCAGGCTAGTAGGTCTAAAATACAGGCAGAGTGCCTGTGAGAAACTGCTGCTTCCCTTCGTCAAATGAAAGTTCCGTTGCCAAGAGTAAAAGTGGAGAATGCCCAACACATGGCCCTCAACACCCCGGCTCTTCTCCCTGCAATTACCTTTCCCATGGGGATTTTTTTTCCCCCATGGGGATTTTTGATGGTTTCTCTCGCTTCTCTTGGCCAGGGATACGGGCAGTGAGTTGCGAGGGGCGTCACTGTTTTCCCTTT